TTGTAAACATACGCGTCCGCACGCACACATACACATATATACATATACACATTTGTGTGTAATAATGTATATGTTTATATACATACATACATGTGTATATATATACACACAATATATATATATATATATATATATTATATATATATATACATATATAAATATACATATATAAATATATATATACACTCACATATATATGTATATGTAGATATACATACATACATTTATATATATGTATATGTATGTATATTCATATATATTGTATGTGTATGGATAGATGTGAATGAATATCTGTTACATCTGTCAGTGCTTCTGTATATATTCATATTAATCCACGAACGTATTCGTGGATAAATAAACCTTATATCTGTGCAACAGTACTTTATTTTTCCTTATTCACTTTTCCATTGATTTCGGTCAACAGCTGCGTCACGTGACATGCGATAATACAGGAATGTACTTCCGGTAAGAAATTTATTTGAAAGTTCTTGATGTATTATACAATTAGTTCATGTAATAATAATGCAAGCAGTTATAAAGAGTTGGTTTGGACACAAAGTTCCAGTGTTTCGTAATAGATATATATAGGTAATAATATGTCTTGCAAATGTTGCAACTTTTATTTAATCACGGAGGAGGAAGTATCTGATGAGCACCTTGTGTGGATGAAGCCGGCGTCGCCATGGCCAGGGTGTTCTGAAGGGGAGGAAGACAGTGGCATTCGTTGAAAAGAATTTTGAAAGACCGGTTTCCTATTCCTTTGACTTATTTAATGTTTCCAATTTCATGTTCGCCAATGAACTATTTATGTACAGAACTATGCGATATTCCCTATTTTCAACTTACAGTACATATATCTTTTGTTTGAAAAGATAACTGCGAATGGAAATTAGACTTTACCCAAAGTCAATAGACGGGTTTCCTTTTCATCTCCTCCCGGCGTCGTTCATGACCTTGGGGATCCCCAGGAGGGAGTTGATCAGCTCCGAGTTGCGCTTGTGAGGTCCCGCCACGAAGGCCGAGGGTCCCTGGGCCACGCGCAGGATCTGCCGCCAACTCGGACACCGCCTGTTGGTCATAGAATACCGTCACATAGAAGTAAACATTGAACTGTGTAACATAAGTTTAAGATTTCATATCCTGCAAATATATTTTTAATCTACATATCACATCGGCACTTACCTCACGCTCATAGACCTGAGAGTTCTGGGCGAGTGTCAACTGAAGACCCACAGCCATCGCCACCACGAGGACGACCACAACGGCGCTGCGCATTCTGGTAGATTCAATTGATCAGTTTTTCGTTCTGGTATTTTTCCACATCTGTCAAAACAATTCTAAACGGCCTGTAGAAACTTTTTGACTACGACTTGACTAGAAATAATAGTTATGACCCCATGAAACATAAAATTTGTGTCAGAGAGAGAGAGAGAGAGAGAGAGAGAGAAGAGAGAGAGAGAGAGAAGAGAGAGAGGAGAGAGAGAGAGAGAGAGAGGAGAGAGAGAGAGAGAATGATTAGCTCTAAGACCTCCTATAAAAGTCTCCCAAGTTAGGAGACTTATAGGTTGGGAGTCCCAGCCTACTTGTGTGTTATCAGGATCGGTTTCGAATCCGCAATGATACAAGACCCCGTCGACCTCCTCTTATATAGGACGCCTCATCCTCCGCAACTCGCCCACTCTTCCTCATGTTGTCGACCTCCTTCTATTGAGACGCACGCAAATTTAACAATCGTGAGGATTCTTTTAAAAGTGTTTTTATTTTGTCATTCCCAGACAGCGTTTATCATTTTAAAGTTTGTTACATTTTCCAGAAAGGGAGAAGGAAACAAAAAACGTCCTACACATTTTGCATTACTAAAATACCATTATTGCTACTATTTATAATTTGTTGATGATGTGACCAAAATACCCAAAAGGTTAATTTAAAATCTATTTTATTCATCAATTAACACTCATGTGTTTTCTTTACTCTTTCTCTAAAGATTGATCTTCCCTGTATATATAACACACGGACACAAACACACACACACATTTATCTATCTCTCTATATTTTATATATATATATGCCTATTCAAAGGCAGTGAGAGAGAAGGAAAAGGCAGTATCCTCTTTAGACACTATGAAAGGTCAAGCTTTTGAGAGAAGAGTAAGGAAAGAACTGAAAAGAGATTTAGGCGATGGGCAAAACACAGCTTAAACTAAATCTTTGAACATCTTGGTTAGCAGTGAGTTGGGGTTACTGAATTATACATTGAAAATATCACCATTATCATTATTACTAATATCATCGTTGCCATTATGATTCTTTTTAGCAATAGTGAATCTACAGGGTTACGTATAGATCGTTTATTGCAAACACTGCTGTATTTTCTAGATGAAGCATAAGTAAACTTTCTAAACTGTCTTTTAATTCCTCCAAGATATCCCTAGTGCTAGACCTTTTTCTTTAACCTGACAATAGAGCGAAAGAGAGCATGAGTGCGCGTGCGTGTGTAGAGCAGGAGCATAATATAAAGTGAAGGCGGTAATTGGTCGCTGTCAATGCACCGTCGACGCCGATTGCAACACCAGGTCCAAGTAGGTTTCCTGTCTCTCATATATGGAATAGCATTGAAAAGGTGATCGTATGCCCGGTAGGATTTTTCTACCATCTGTTTATCTTCTATGAAATGGATTGTGTATTCCTTGTACAGGATGCATAGAGCCGTAGTTGCAGCCCTTCTTGTGGTAGTGGCCATGAGCCTTCAACAGACGGCTTCCGGAGAAACTCTAAAACACTACGAACGTGAGGCAAGTATGAAGCTTCATGAAGCTTTTTTTTTATATATACATAGAATTTTAATATTACGTGGCTCAGAGAGACAAAATAGAAATATTGTTCTCAATATGTATTGCGACCAAACAGCTGGTTTCGGAGTTGGCGGCGCAGATCCTGCGCGTGGCGCAGGGACCCTCGGCCTTCGTGGCGGGACCTCACAAGCGCAACTCGGAGCTGATCAACTCCCTCCTGGGGATCCCCAAGGTCATGAACGACGCCGGGAGGAGATAAACAATGAAGGGAAATCTACTGCGTGCTACTGAAGGTTGTGAATAGGTGAATCAGCTTTAGAAGTATTGAATAATTATGATAATAGTGACATTGATAATCTGAAAAAGATCAGTGATAATTAGAGTAATAACAATAACGACAATGAAATAAAAGACATAGCACTGATGCAATTTTAATCACGATGATACAGATGTTAATAATAAAAATGATGGAAAGGACAATGATAAAACGATAAGGGTGATATCAATAACTATATTTTCTTCTTACTATTAAATGTACTAAATCTTTCCCCCACACAGGATAATGAACCACATTGATACTTCCCATAAGACTTCCATCCCTTTATTTTATAAGAAAAAAAAGGTGCAACACTAATTTATATTAATTTCCTGAGAAACAATAAAATACATAACTAAAGCACATTGTATTTGAACTTCCTATACACATGTACAAGTATCCTAAAAACTTTATGCATCAAACTCATATCTCCCGACCAATAATGGAAGTCATATAATGCAATGAATAATGGTATGTAATATATAGCGAACGTCGGAGAGATAGAAAGAGAGAGGGAGAGAGAAAAAGAAAAAGAATGAGAGAAAAGAAAGCTAGGGAGAGAAGGGGGAAGGGGGGACAGAGGCATAAGCAGAGAGAAGGAGGAAGAGATGCATAAAGAGAGATAGAGGTAAAATATGAAAAAAAAAAACATATTTAGAGTGATATACAAATAGTCATATATTTTATGGTTTTATTGTGCATGATCCGGGCCCTTAGCTAATATAGCAAGCCTTATTGACTGCTCTGTTTTCTCTCATGCATTTTGACTTACTGTGTTTAAGATATTCTATTTAGAAATAGCTCTCGTGTTTTGAAATAATTATTCATTTTTTCATATACACATACATATATACATATTTGTATTCATTCATGCACGCATGCATGCTGATACACACACACATACATATATACACACATATTATGTATATATATATGTATATTCGTATATACACACGATTCTTTCACATGTAATCTAGAAATGTATGATAGGGGAATAAAGACACTTTTGGACACTAACGTTTGAGTAAATTTGAAGGATTGTGAATATGCCTTTCCTTGTCATTTCTTTGTTTCCGGTGAATGTGATTCCACTTTATATCTCATGATATCCATATCAACATAAAATGAAAGAAACAGTTTTCCCCCCTCTCTGTCTCTCGCACATTTTCTCTTTCTTACACACACACGGACGCACGTCCGTGTGTGTAAGAACGGTGTGTGCGTGTTGGTTTGCGTTGGGGCGGGGCAGGGCCAGGGCGGTGGTGTAAGTATGCATAGATAAAGCAAGAAAAATATCATTTAACTTTTTAGTGCAAAAATTCGGTCAGGGATTTAAAAAAAAAAAAAAAAAAAAAAAAAAAAAAAAAAAAAAAAATTATATGGCTTATAAAAATAATTCCAATATCGTGTACATTCCTCCTTTTTGCCATCATTAAATAACTATGTTAAAGGGAATACGCTTATATGGTACAGTAAGGGAAGTGCTTTCTTGTAAAAGGAATTATATACATATACATACATACATACATATATAATAAATAAATAAATATATATATATATATAATATATATATATATATATATATATATATATATATATATATATATATATATATATATATACGAAGTGTGTCAGAAAAGTTCCAGGACTGATATCACAATAGATATAAGAAAGATCGTCCACTGCGAGTTCTTGCCACAGGGCCGACGATCAACCAACATCTCTACAAAGAGATACTGCAGCGTTTGCTTCGTTCAGTGCGTGAGAAGAGGCGAGAGTTGTGGCATGACAACTCGTGGCTGCTTCACCGTGACAACGCACCTACTCACAGTGCCCTGAGCATTCGACAGTTCCTGGCCGAGAAGAGCATCGTCGTGCTGGAGCAACCTCCCTCTGTGTGATATTTTCCTCTTCCCCAAGCTCAAGAGGGTCATCAAAAAGTCCGTGACGACGGAACTCCAGGAATACATACAAGCGTGACAGAGAAGAATGAGAAAGTGCATTAGACTCCAGGGGGTGTACTTTGAAGGGAAAAACTCTTAGTGTGAAGTTTGGGTTTGAAATAAATCCTTTGTGACATAAGTTCTGGAACATTTTTGACATACCTCATATTATATATTCAACACACATGCACACATATATGTATATATATTATGTATTTGAACGACTCCGTGTTGCACCTGTCTGTGCTTCTACGAACGCATTAGTGGACATATATACTTCTTTATATCTGTGTAACAGTAAATCAATTTCCTTTTTCAGTTATCAATAGATTCCGGTCAACAGCTGCGTCACGTGACGTGAGGAAGATATGTACTTCCTGGGAAGAAATTAATTTGAAAGTTAAAGTTGATGTATTGTATGATTGGCTCATGTAACAAGAATGTAAGTAATTATGTATATTTGGTTTGAACATAAAATTCCAATGAATGGCAATAGATATATTGGTAAAAATATGTCTTGTAAATGTTGCAACTTTTATTTAATCACGGAGGAAGTATCTGATGAGCACCTTGTGTGGATGAAGCCGCCGTCGCCATGGCCAGGGTGTTCTGAAGGGGAAGAAGACCGAGGCATTCGTTGAAAAGAATTTTGAAATAGCTGTTTTCTTTCTTCTGATTTATATCATATTGTTTCTAATTATGTATAGTGTTATGCGATATCCACTCTTTCAGCCTATAGTACATATATTTCTTGTTTGACTAGATATATCCGAACGAGAATTGGACAACCTAAAAGTCAATAGACGGATTTCCTGTTCATTTCTTCCCGGCGTCGTTCATGACCTTGGGGAGTCCAAGGAGGGAGTTGATGAGTTCGGAGTTGCGCTTGTGAGGTCCCGCCGCGAAGGCCGAGGGTCCCTGGGCCACTCGCAGGATCTGCGCCGCCAGCTCGGACACCACCTGTTGGTCAGGGTATAGAATAGCAAAGATTTATTGGTCCCGCCACATAGAAGTAAACGTTTTCTAACACAAGTTTTAAATTTCATATTCAGCTAAAAATGTTTATGATACATACCACATCGGAAAAGCTTCAGCACTTACCTCACGCTCCGGGTTCTGCAGGTTCTGGGCGAGTATCAGCTGAAGGCTCACAGCCATCGCTACCACGAGAATGACCACAACGGTGCTGCGCATTCTGGGTAGATTCAGTTGATTAGTATATCGATGTGGTATGAGTATTCCACATGTCAAAATTATTCTAGTTCTATAGAAACTATTTTGAGTACTTGACTTGCAATAATAGTTATGACCCAATGAAATCTATGATATGTGCCAAAGAAAGAATCATAATGAGTGGCTCTAAGAGCACCTTTAAGAGCTTCCAACCTACTTGTGTTATCAGGATAGGTTTCGAAGCCACAATGATACAAGACCCGTCGACCTCCTCTTATATCGGCCGCCTCATCCTCCGCGACTCGCCCACTCTTCATGGTTTCGACCTCCTTTTCCTGTTGAGGCGCCGCATGTTGAACAGTCCTGAGGATTTTCTGAAAGGTTCCTGTTATTCTTTTATTTCTTGGACAGCGTTTTTCGTTTTAAATTTCAGTGCATTTTCCATAAAGGGTTTTAAAGTTGCTCTTTATTCACATTGCATTCCATATTTGACCGCAAAAACTCCGCTAACTTGACGATATATTCAAGATCTATTCTGGTGCGACATGTGAAGCGATTTGGTTAAAAAAGTATCTAATCGTGAACTAAACACGTTAGTAGGAGAAAGAGAAAAGAGACGTCACACACTTTACAAGCATTACTAAAATACTCTTTCTGCTATTACTACTACTTAAAATGTTGATGAGACGACCAAGATACCAAAATGGTTTAAAATATATTCTTTTCTTAAACTAAAACATGTTTTTTTGCTCTTTCTCTAAAGCTTGACATTCCACATCTATAAAAGACAAATACAAGCACACACACATAAAAGCACATCTATCTGTTTATCTATATTTATATATATATATCTATATGCCTGTTTGTGTGGTCAGAAAAGAGGAAATGAACTACAGTCTTTGGACACTATGAAAGGTCAAGCTTTTGAGAAAACAATAGTCAGAAAAGAACTGAAATGAGTTTTAGCTGATAGACAAAAGAGAGAAAAAAACACTTATTGTTGTTATCATCATATATGAGTAATAATAATAGTAAAAATAGTTTACTGATGCTTGTTAAATGTGTATGAAGCTTTCATATACATTATAGTTTATTATATATATATATATATATATATATATATATATATATATATATATTATATATATATCATGTATATATACATATGTTCATATATCTATGTGTTTATATATATATATATATATTATATATATATATATATATACATATATGTATATATAAATGTGTGTAATATATATAAAATACATACACATAC